CTTAGAAACAGTGATCAGGAGTGTACACAGAAATTTGTTTATTGTCTTGCTTGTTCCTTGACTATTTGCATCTATTGTATTGCTAGTTCCTCAACCTAGACCTGACCTAAAGTGACTTGCACGTAATTAAAATGATAAAAAAGCAAAAATGAGGAGGGGGGATGGGATAAGGGATTTCTGGGGAGAGGAAATGGGGAAAGAGGATGACATCCAAAATGTAAATAAATAAAATATCCAATAAAAAAGAAAACAAACAAACATAAAGAATAATTCTTGCTTCTTCACAGACTACATATAAGCTGTACTACTTATAAATAAATAAATATGCTGATTAAATTTGTCAAAGAGATTTTAAAAATCTAAAAGTTAACTATCATCTTTTTCTAAAAAGTACGTTCAGTTTAAAAAAAAAAAAACCAAAAAAACCAAAAACCAAAACCCACCCACTTCAACCTTGCGGCTGGGAGAGTGCAGTTGGTGAATGCTTGCTGTGCAAACCACAGGAGCAAGTCCCATCTGGGACATCTGCAGAGCTAGCATGAGTGGTGCATTTGTGATCCCAGCACTGGCAATGTGGATGGAGGAGGTCAGCTCGCTGGGGCTAAAACTCACAAACTCCAGCCCCACCCAACATAAGATGGAACACTAACCAAGGTTGATCTCTGCTCTCTGCATTCACATCCCCACAAATGAAAATCTGCTTCATCATGTTCATCAAAATTTCATATCTTTATTTACTGTTTTCTTCAATTAGAAAACTATGACCCAAATTCTCAAGCAGAGGGTTTTTTTTTTTTTTTTTTACTATTTAAGGAAAAACTGGATGGGAGAGATCTTGGCAGGACATGAAATAATTCTTTTGGCAATTCTTTAGTGGCTTGAAAGTCAGAATGGTATTAAAACTAAGAAGTAAAGGTCAAAGTGAAACTTTAAACTGAAATTACTAGGCTAAACCTGCCAGGAAGATTCCTTCTTTAGAAAGCAGCCTCCAACTCTGCCCACTGCCTTACTGTTTGTGAGTTTTAAACGTACAGTGGTAGTACTGCAGCTGACATTGTGAAGACAAGGGAACCCAAGAACATGGCCTGTGTCACACAAGCAACCCAGACTCAGAAGATTAGTGTCATAAAGGTTGGTATAGTTTACAGTGTTGAAATGTTTAGCCTTTAGTTACCAAGCATGTATAAAAATTGTTACTAGTTTAAATTCTTGGTACATAATCATACACTGAGTTGGATACTGTTTATATTATTTGGAAAAAGCATAAGTATTATGATGTGATAATCTTGCCAACTTGCCTGGACTATGAAATGCGTAGAAAAGAGTGAAGTATACTGCTTGGTGTGTTTGTGACACTTCCAGAGCTGAGTAGATCAATCTGATTAAAGAATGAATCAAATCATGGCTGGGTTCATATGCTGGTATTATTGAGAGGTGGAAGGACAGCAGCAGGCCCAAGCTGGAGGAAGCAAGTCACTAGGGCTGTGTCTTCACTGACCTTTCTCTTCATCCTCTTTTCCTGGTTCCTGGCTCATCATCAACTACTCTGTCCTACTACACACGTCCTGAGATAACAGACCAACACCTCTGAAACTGCATGCCAGAAATCAATCTTCATTTTTTGAGTGTCTCTGTATTTTGCCACAAAAATAAAGTCAGTAACATGTGTATTTACAGTTATAAATAGGTAAGTGCAGAGATTGTGGATTATTAAATGTTACATGACAAAAAATCAAGCAGGATTGAAATTTGAAGTCAACTTTATGAAACAGTAAACATGTTTTTTTTCTATTGTAAAAGAACTCTAAAGAATTTGGACACAAGTTGGGCATGGTAGTATAGGACTTTGAACTCAGCACCTGGGAGGTAGAGGCAGTAGGATCACTGTGAGTTCCTTACTGTGTAGCCAGGACACATAGTAAGCCCTATCTCAACAACAACAAAAATGAAAACAAAAAAGTCTAACACGACAGTATGACATTACATGAGTCAAAATTGGGATTATTCTAGTTTTGATGAATATGCAGCAGATTTTTTCTACTTTCCTTTATATTAGCATTTAATTTGAAACTTTTAAAAATAAAAAAGAGGACCAAATCTCAGAGTAAAAATATTTTACATAGGGGCTGTAGAGATGGCTCAGTGGTTTGAAGCATATGCTGCTCTTCCGGATGACTGGAGTTCAATTCCCAGCACCCACATGGTGGCGTATGGTCATCTCTAATTCATGTTCCATGGAATCATACACATTCTTCTGACCTCTGAGGGTATGAGACATGTATGGTGGTACATAAACATACAAGCAGGCAACACATTCATACATACAAAATATTGCATACATATAAAATTAAAAATAATTTTAGAATAACTGAGGGGTGGTGGGCTGTCAGAGGCAGCTGGGTACCTGGTTGAGAGCAGACCTTGAACCTGAGACCCTAAAGGGACAGTAGGTGTTCAAGCCTTGCTCCTGGGCCCTGGTTCCTTTCACTTAGCTTCAGCTATCCACAGCCCCTCCAAAAGAAAGGTTTGTGGCCTTTGGTCACATAGCACAGGTAGAGGGTGTGACTACAGGCCACAGAGCCTCAAGAGATCTTCTTATTCATGAGATACCTAAAGGCCAGAGGGCTTAGCCAATTAAGCATTCCTTCCCAGACCCTCCTACTTGCAAAAGGCATTTAACCTCAGGCCCACCCTGAGAACTCAGGGTACAGCTTCATCCACTTTCCGCCATGACAACCTTTTAAAACCATGGACTACCTCTCATCATTGGGGCCCTCCGTGGAGAATCGAGAAAAGGTCTTCAACTACAGCCATGGAGCTCATCAACTCAAGCAAGCTAGCTGAGCCAGCCATGACCCAGCCAAGCGAGTTGCTGTGACCAAGAGTCTCTATCCTGCGGGGTGCTGCCGGAGCTCATCTTGTTCCCCTCGTCCTGTCTCAGTCCTTCCGCGGCCTCTCAGTGGTGCCTGGGAGCCCAAGGGCTGACATCAGCCTGTCTCTGGCCAGCCGTCTTGGCTCGGGGACCTCCAACCCAAGAACATCGGTCCACACAAGGTCTCAGACTGTGATCTCCCCACGCTCTGAGTGGAGCCCAGAGGCTTCTCACAGCCTGCTATCCACCTGGAGCTGTGTGGAGTGAGCACAGTTGAATTCCTGTGCTTCTGCCCTCTGAGCCATGGCTCCAGCCACCTGGGGCTGCAGACACACAGGACCCACAACTCAGCCCAACAGAACCCATGCCCACACACACTACAGCTCCACAAATAACACTAAATATTTACCTTTAATCCCAGTGAAAGGCAATTCTCCCCTTGGAGGCCTACTCAACCTTCAGGAGACTAATGAAAGTATTTAGTTCCTAGTGTAGGTTCTTATTCCTATCTCTTGAGATTCCTTAGTAACTTTCTCATATATACCCATGGAGCTGGTGCCTCTTCCTCACCCAGATCTCTGTCTGTTGTTAAGAAATAAAAATTAGCTGCAATGGGAAACATAGATGCATCCAGGTATTTGGAACATACAAAAAAATCATAGAAAATGTCAAGTGGTAAAAAGGTGGATTCATGCAAAAATATACAACTACAAACAAATCTAATTATGAAAAATATTGTTTAACAAGTCCAAGTTTGAAATGTCTTATCATTACAGTGTTCTTTTTTATATCTTACTACCCTATTAATTTACCTGGCTATCACTAAAACAATGCATGTGTTTTAACTGAAATCCAATCACATGAAAATAATTAAGATAATATAAAATTGGGATCTTTGGAAATTGAAGTTATAAATAAAAGTTAGGTTGAACGTATTTTGTAAATTTGTTTAATAAGAAGGCCAATATTGAAAACATAATGGGATAGTTTTCTCAACATCATTTCCTTGGTTATGAACAAATAAGTACCTATTAAATCAACAACTCTGAACATTGCTGTATTTTAAGAAATCTTCCTTTGCTTCTGTGATCTCATATAACAAGTTGGTGTATTACTAATCACAAAAGAACACACATGGTATTCACTCACTGATTATTGGATATTAGCCTAGAACCTTGAAATGCCCAAGATGCAACTCACAGGCCACATGAAGCCCATAAAGAAGGAAGACCAAGTGAGGGTGATTCGGTCCTTCTTAGAAGGAGCAACAAAATACTCAAGGGAGCAAATATGGAGACAAAGTGAGGGACAGAAACTGAAGGAGGGGCCGTCTCAAGACCACTCCACCTGAGTATCTATCCCATGTGCAATCACCAAAGGTAGATGCTGATGTGGAAGACAGGAAGTGCATGCTGATAAGAGCCTGATATGGATATCTCCTCAGAGGCCTTCAAGAGTCAGACATATTCAGAGGCAGATGCTCACAACTAGCCATTGAACTGATCATGGGGTTCTCAATAGAGGAGTTAGAGTGAAGATTGAAGGAGCTGAAAGGGTTTGTGGCACCATGAGGAGAGCAACAATACCAACCAACCACAGCTCCCAGGGTCTAAACCACCAGCCTGGGAGCACTTAGGGGGGGATCCAGGGCTTCAGCTGAATATGTAAAAGTGGAGGGCCCTGCTGGGCATAGGTGGAAGAAGAGAACCTTGACCTCATGAAGGCTGGATGCCCCAGGGGGTGGGAATTTTGAGGGTGGGGAGGTGGGAGTGGGGGGGTGTAGATAGAGGTTACATCCACAGAGAAGAAGGAGGAGGGGCGAGGGGATTGGGGGTTCCGAGGGGGTGGTGGGGGATGGGGTAAGGGGACAACATAGGAAATGTAAATAAATCATCCAATAAAAAAAAAAATAAAATGAAACTTGTCATCAGAGAAATATGTCCAAACAACCTTCATTACTATACATCAAAGGAGACAGAGGTCTTCAGATTAACCGTGTGAACATAGTCGGATACTAGGAAATAACTACATTGAAAGAACATGAGTGACAGTATTATGAACACCAGTGACGGTAGGACACAGCAGCAGCCCATCTCTTAGGATTTCTAAGGTATCTGCTAATACATACCAGGTCTGTCTTTGGAGGATCTGTACACTCAGCAGAGAAGTAAGGCGCTGAGCTCCGGATTGCACTGCTCTCAGAGGCTGTCTTGGGAGGCTGAGCATGCTGTCTGTATGTAGCACTTTTAGGAGTCCAGCAAAACAGATTAACCGACTCGCGTACGCAGCGTTCAATGTCAATTTCTAGGTTGAAGATATAAAGAGAAAAATCTATGGAACTTAGACTGTATTTTTAATATAAATTTTTTCTAAACTTTTATAGGACAAAAACTAAATAGAAAGGAACCCAACAAAAACAATGTAGATATTAATGTGCAATATTAGTGATTGGAAAGGTAAGGATTATTTGCTAGTAAAATACACTAAAAGTTATACTGCTGTTTAGTAACTATAATATATTCACAGAAAGGTGATCAAAACATCAATCTAGGCATTTCCCATCATTTATAATTTCTTGAGTTAAATGAGCTTTTATGTAGAGATAAAATGCACTCAATGATTTAAAATGATTTTTAAAAAGAAATATTTTCATAGATTTGTTTCCTTTTCTTCCTCAGCTTCGAGGGAGAGGCAGTGCATGGGTGTGTTCATTACTACAGCCAATCACAGTTTTTGATTGGACTGTAGCAGGAGGCCAACAATTCTGGTGAAGAATTAAGCATTTCTAGATGAGGAAGATGGAACACAGCAGTGAAGTCCCAGATGATGAGATGGGGTCCAGCACTGGCCCTTTAGTCATTCCTAAAACCAGGAAATGGATCGAGTCTCACTTTGCAGTTCCATCATGTCGGTTCAGATAAGCAACAGATTAAAAACATGGGATTTAAAATCCAAAGATACAAGTTTCCTGCTCTCTTTAAGGAGGAGTGGAGACCGGTATGAACTAGATATGGTGGATGCTGTGTGGTTACTGACCTGACTGGACAGAGACACCCTTAAATGACAAAGCATACTTCTGACTGGAGCTGGCAGAAGGTGGCTGGCAGGGCTGGAAGGCTATTTAAGGCCCACTCCTTCCTCTTTCTCTCTTTTGCTATTTTCTCAGCTTTGTGTTTCCTACCACAGATGTTCAACCTCCCTACAGAGGCCCAAAGGCAGCAGAGTCATGGAACCACAGATCTAAAGCTCCGAATCTGTGAGCCGACACAAATCCTCGTTTTAAGCTGCGTGTCTCAAGAGTTTTGTTGTATAGATAGGCCACTAACAAGTATATGCCGCATGGATTTGGGATTGTTTGCTATCACAAAGTGAAGAATCTTTGGAGAAGAGAAAACAGCATTTATTGGATCCCAACTACCTGACATGGTTTTCGATTGTATGTTCTTGGTCCATTTAATTTTTACAATGATCCCAACATCAGGTCCAACCCTTTCTTTTGGAAGAATGAGCTAAGACACTAAGATGCAAAGTGACTGTTAGGTGTGTTGCCCAGATAGGATGTTTGAGCTACAAAAGGATCATAGAAGCATCCTGGCTCATTTAGGTTTGGAATATAAACAGCAGTTCTGGAAAGATGAGCCACTCATTTAGGCATTTCTTTATCTGCTCTCAGCTATCTTTGTCAACTTCACAGCTGGTTACCGCCACAGCTGTACAAAAGAGTCGATTTTAGATTCACACTCCACATGTTATAACTGACATAGAATTATACAAAGAGTTAAACAAGATTTGAGACATAATTGAATTTATTTCAACATGATACCTATACAGTGAAATGTGTTTTTAAAAATTTCTACCATTATCAACCTGAAAACAAACACCAACTACAAGAAAAATAAGATGTTAAAAGGTGTCCCTATATGTTTACAACAAACTACGAACCATTTATTTTTAGAAAACTTTCAATTACAATTATTGAGATTAAATACGTAATAGCTAAAGAGAAGAAATGATCAATTGTATAATTGAGATTAAATTCTTAATAGCTAAAGAGAAGAAATGATCAATTATATACATTTTGTATATTTAGTACTACGGAGTCCCTAAAGAAAAAGAATTTCAGTCCACACATTTTGTATTTCCAGTCTTCAAATCAGTTTGACACATCTGTCATCCAGAAAAGCTTCAAATCAAGTCAGTGATCCATATCAGGAGCACGATTCCAACCCCTCCCACCCCCCACTGGCAAAGGAAAATGCCAGTCTCCATCTTATTCCGTAGCTCTGCAGCTTGGCGTGGTGTGCAGTGAACCCTGAAAGTCTGCGGAGGTTCCGCCCCGTTCGACAGAAGATATCCCTTTTTCTATTCATCTAACTTGTCCATCTCCAAATCTTCCCATAATTAAAGCATAATGCAAGCACTATCAGATGTGCAATCATTTTTATAGACCAATCTCTCATCCACAGAACCAGCATTTCATGGATCCCATGTTAAGGTCTCTCAGGTTTGAATCAAGACTAGAAGACTTTTTTTTTTTTTTTGTGACTGAGTGAAATAATTTTTCTAACTCCCACCTTCTTCATCCTCACCAATCAGTATCATGTCTCTCAGAAAAACTGAAATATCTTTAACACGATAAATACGCCTCTCATGTTTCCTATGTGAGCAAGTCAGATCTAAAAAGCTGTCTCTCTTGAAGCCTTTGCTTCTTTTGTCTTGATGGGAATGATGGCTGCTTAGGTCTACTGAATCCCTGATGTCTGGACATTCTTTCACTATTATGCAAGGCTTTTCTTTTGGCTCTCCTCTATGTTAATTTTTTTTTGGGGGGGGGATGGGGATAAGACATTCATTTGCTTGATTTACTTCATCTTGACAGGTGTCTCTTCACTTTCCAGGTGCCCGTATGAGAGGGTACATAGCCGACAACACACCTTTTGTATCTGTATTCTGCCTGAAGGTGACTTCCCTGCCGATAGCACCTCAGGGTTGGATCTTCTTCCTTCTGAGTTATGAAGGATCTACTGTCTTTTCTAAGAAGTCAGGTCAAACTTGAATTTGAGAAAACTGGTATGCTTTACTCCATTTATGTGTTCTCAGGATCTTGGTACTTTCAAATAGAAAGGGCTAGAACTGGAAAAGCGCTGGGTCAGAGTGGAAGCAAGTAACCTCAGACATGCCCTAAAAAGGTCTCTGCTAGTGAGAAGACCCCAAGTAAAGGAGCCTGAACTGAAAATAGTTCCTAATATCAAGTGGGACCATTTGCTAAGTGACAGCTCTTGGCAGCACCTGAAGCCCATGGCTATGCTCATCCATCCAACCGGTGCCTGGCACTTCTCCACATGGAAGCATTCAACATGGGCGAGATGGACCTTTTTCCAGTTTCCTATTTTTCCAATGCTATTTCAGTAGCAATTAAAGGTTGACATTATTTTCAGTTAGAGCTGCTGCCATAATTCACAATTTCTACTCCAGGTCCTAAGTTCACCTGAGTTCAGTTCATCTCATTAAATTAAAAAGAAAAATCAAAACAAACAGCTCAGGAAATAAAGCCCCAACCATTGGAGCTCTTGTAGGTTGACAGAATGAGGTAAGGAAGACAACAGCTGCAGGAGAGAAGTGCATATCTATTAGAAGTAGAAGGAAAGAATTTTGTGGGCTGATAAGACTATTCTGTATCTTCCCTGGGGTGAGATTTACATATATGCTGACAACTGTTGCAATGCGTCGAACTAGATAATTCAAATCTACACATTTCTTGAAAATATGCCTAAAGAGAAAAAATAAAAACCATTCTTTTTTACATATTTTCCTTTAAAGTTTCTTTATGTTTGAAACTTATAGATACTGGATTTAGAATTGTATATTAACTATTAACCGCACAAACCTTCAGTTTTTTTTCAAAAACCTTATTTTGTGTAAGAAAATGTTTTCCCCACATGTATGTATGTGTGTCACGTGGGTGCATGCCTTCTGCCAGTGGAGGTCAGAAGAGAGTACTGGATCCCCTGGAACTGGACTTATGGATGGCTGGGAGCGACCATGGAGGTGCTGAGCATAGAACCCAGGTCCTCGGCAAGAGCAGCAGGTGCTGAGCATCTCCCTGCTCCTAGAGCCTCATTTCCCATATGACAAAAACCTTAGGATATGGAGGATTTTCAACCTAATAATTGATTGTTTTCAACAACTACTTACTTTTAGTGTTTTATTTATTTTTTGAGAATTTCATAGATAATATAGTATTTTGATTATATTCCTCTTTCGTCCTCAACTCTTTTCAGATCCTACTCCAACTCCCAATCCATGAAATTTATGTTCTTTCTTAGAAAGCAACCAAAGCAAAGCAAACCAAACCAAACCACAAAAATAGATTAAGTTCATTTTGTGTTGACCAACTACTTCTGAGCACAAGGCCAGGCATTGAGTGTGGTTGCTATTACACCTGGTATCATCCCCTGAGGAAAACTGCTTTTCTCTCTCTCAGCAGCTATCAGTTGCAAATAGCTTCTTGGTTTGAGGTAGGACTCTGTGTTCACTCCCCTTCTCCTTGCTGAGAGTTTGTCTGGCTTGAACGTGTACAGGTTTTTGCATACTGCCACAGTCTCTGTATGTTCATATGTGCAACAGTCCTTCAACAGTGAACATTTTTGGAATGTAGAATTTGTTTGTAAAAAGAAGATAAGATGAACTTTAAGTACTGATGCCTTGTGACATGAAAACATTCCAAAATTACTACAATGGGACTTGGAACTCCAGAAGATAGGCTAGGACAGGATTAAGACCAGAGACCATGGCGAACAAAATAAACCCTGCACACCATGAAGTACCCTTTCTACAGAAAACTGCATCAGAGTCTCAGGTTGACAGCATCTTCATCATCATCTGATGCCTTTAGAGCAGCGATTCCCACCATGTGGGTAGCAAGCCCTCTGGGAATCCAATGACCTGGTCACAGGGTCACCTAAGACCATCAGAAGCCACATATACTTATATGATTCATAACAGTAGCAAAATTACAGTTATGAAGAAGCAACTAAAATAATTTTGAAGTTGGGGATCTCTACAACTATATTAAAGGGTTGCAGCATTAAGAAGGTTGCGAACTATTGCTTTGATGAAGAATAATTAAAATTAATATTTATAATATGATATAGATTCTAGGTCTTCCAAAGACCAAGGACCTGCCAGGAGCCTGGCATACCATATTTAAGGACTGTGTGAAGGAGGGTGGTGTGCAGTACAAGGCACATGAGCAAGGAGGAGACGCAGTATTAGAGAAAGCAGTCATCTTAAGGCACTCAAGA